GTGATATTTGCTGTGAGATTTCATAACATGTTTAGCTGCCAACGCAGTGTCACAAAATAAGATTGGCCAGTAATTACACCCTGCAGTGCAGCCAAGTAGGTGACTGTGACTAATGACCTGGTTACTACTTTCATATCTAGGAAGCAAGTAACAAGGCTTCTTTATGTGCTGGGGCTTTCCATACAGTCAGCTATGTATTTAAACTTCTAGTCCTTATATATTCACTACACATACCTGCTGCAATCACACAGATTCCATCAAGAATGCAATTATCTAAAAAGAGATGGTCGACAAATTGGCAACGAGTGACAGGAGAGGTGATTTTTTTAATTTCTCTCATGCAGAAAATTATAATTGGTTAATAAGTAAAAGGAGAGTGACAGGGGCAGGAATTAATCACATTATTTAAAGTACTGAACTGCTGAAGGTACTAGCATCTGCTAAAAAGTAATTCATCTACCACCTAGTTTTTAATTTGTATTTTGGTTCCTCAGTCATCAGGACAGACCTGCTGTTTGTGCAGGGTTGTTACTCAGTGTTGCCTCATAATGTGGACAGCATCTGCTCCAGGAGGGTCAGACCTGGATGTGTTAGTGTTAGTACAAAAGTGCACAAAGCAGATGACCCGAATTGCACAATTCGTAACCTAAAAACTTTGTGCAGAAAAGTGAAAAAGAGAGAGAGGGAGAAAAATGTAGAAAATATGAGGCAGAAAGATGAAGGACTGAAAAATGGTTTACGGAAGCTTTTGAAATAACATAAGAGGAAAAGAATTGCTCTGGCATATCCAAAAGACAGAGATACATAACAATGAAGGAAAACAGAAAAGATGGTTGGAGAGAATATCAAAAAGGTCTTTGTGTGTGTCAAGAAGGCAAGACAGGAGAATGAAAATTAAAGTACAACTAAAAACAGCCAAAGTGTCTCTTCTGATTAAAAATAAATAAATAAATAAAACACTGAGATGTGGGCAGAGAAACTCAGAAAAACAACACTAATTAAATCAGAAAAAGTCTTGCTGAGAAACAGGGTGGAGAGGAACAGAAAGAGAAACCACAATGAAAGCTCTGTTGCTATTATTTCAAAGGACTTGGGATGTTGCTATGTTGAGTACGTGTGTTTGTTCACACTAGGGATGTTTCTTATGACTAATTTACTAGTTGATTAGATGGGAAGAAAAATTCTAACTAATCAACCAGTCTGCAAGTATGAAAACAATAAGAAGGCATTTAAATCCAAGTCAATCTAATGGATGAGGTTAAACATGGACAATAATCAAAATGCAGCTGAAAAGTGTGACGCCATGCATAACACTGTACACGCTCAGTGTCAGATGCTGAGTGTTGCTAACATTAGCAGTGGTTGTGCCAGCTGCCTTCTTTCCCTGCAAATTAACATCCACCCGCTGTGCTAGATGTAGTTCTGCATTGCTCTGGGCGAGCGGTAATCTGCCAGCTTATTCTGAGGCAACAAGGCAGAGAGGGCTGGTGTCATCTGCTCGGGCTAAAAGTCTGTGTAACATCTGCATAACATCTCAGAAGTGACAGTTAACTGGCAGTGTAAAATAATACAATTAGAATAATTGCTCCACCAAGTATGTATAGCAAGGGTGGCAGTATTTAAAAACCTAGTCAACTAGTCGCTCACACCCCTGGTTCAAAAAGGGGAGGCAAAAACTGGAAGGTGAATGGCCAGCTTGGCTAAATAGCAAAATGAAAGGGGGGGCAAACATTACATTTTCAGCCAATAGGAGGATGATATGTCCTCAGCATCGATGGCAATGCCAATGATACCTAGCTAACAGCAGTACACTTACCATACATTTTTGTATGTTTTCTATTACATGCTATATGGTGAAGTCAGAGCCAACATAACAGCAAAACTTTAACAAAATGTATAATTAACTGCAGTCATTTGTTTTAATGTCATTTCTTTTAAGTCTATAATTGAGATCAAACCACCCTGATGGGTTACTGAACAAGTACAGGGGTCCCTTGTTTATCCTCATTTATCGCGGGAGTTACGTTCTAAAAATCCGCGAAGTAGCCAACTTTATTGTTTACAATTATTATGGATGTTTTATGGCTGTAAAACCCGTCACTACACCCTTTATACACTTTTCTCTGACAGGCTTGAACATGTTCACACTTTTCTCTATGGTTTAAACACTGCAAAAGTTCAAACCTTCGTAGAAAAATAAGTCCATTGTTATAAAATAAAACCAAAGGGACCAATGGTGCAAAACGTTTCATCGACATTTTTGTGTTTATGTGAGAAATCTTACAAACATACAGTACAGCACTTCAGAGTCACACTGCTGGCGATCGAAGATTAAGATAAATTTGACAAACTGAATGCATTCTGTACTGCACAGGAGACACGACACAAGATTGATTGACAATGGTCTACAGCCAATCAGGACGCCGAACACAATGCGCTGTTAAAAAAAAAAAAGCATGCAAAATTGCACCAAAAAAATCAGCGAAACAGCGAGACCGCGAAAGGTGAACCGCGTTATAGCGAGGGACCCCTGTACACAGTGTATATCCCATATGGAAGCATACTAGAGAAATGATGCCTAATCTGATTAAGTTAGAGCGCTCTCGTTATAATTGATTTAAGTTTCTTGAAGGTGACAGCCCACCTTCAGAAAGCTCTTCAAGGTGATCAACTTCCTACAATGACATTTTGAAAAAGTCTAGGTCATTTTTTGAGGCGGTAGGGTTTCTTTGCTGCCTGCGTTGAGTGCTGGAGGGGACATAGCGAATGTTGTTTAAGAAGTCGTAACCTTTCTTTAAGATGTTACTTTCTTTAAGGATGTGCAAAACAAGTTTTACAGTCTCAGAGAAGAGACACAGCGATGTCTCTGACAGATGGATGAAAGGTAGAACAGATGACGGATACATGAGGGAGGGATGGGAGATAAAGATGCAGAGATGAAGAGCATTTGTGAGAAATAGAAGTCAGGGGGTGGATAAAAGGGAAGATGAAAGCAAATAGGAGGCGATGGAGGAATCACTTTTAGTAGACATGAAATGGTGAGAGGGCAAAAAGATGGAAAGATAGATGGATGAAAAGACCTGATGGGAATCCTGATGACTGGCAAGCCATATGTTAACGATGGCAGTCTGACAGCCTCTGGTTTAACCCTATTCACACACACACACACACACACACACACACACACACACACACACACACACACACACACACACACACACACACACACACACACACAATCTATACAGACTGTAAGCCATGCATCAAGGCTTACAGAGTCCAGCCTCAACACATGCTACAGTGAATGGGTACCATCCATCACGGCTGTAACTAGACAGAGATGCAGCAGCAGCCAAGACTAAACCAATCAGATGGCAGTGTGTGTAACGACCATCTCAAACCAAAAACAATCTAAAGTTATTTTAGAGTTTGAGCTGTCCTCAAACTTATACAGATGTTTTTTACCAATACAACCCTGGAGTGACAAAAAACCTCTGTGTGCTAAAATAACATAGAATACCAGAACCAGAAAATAAAAACAGAAATAGCATGTTTCTTCTCAGAGGAAATGTGCTTAACTGCAAAATCGGTGTGCTAAAAATGCTCCTACCAACTGCAGTAGCATGTCTGAGTGCTAAGATGCCTTTCTTTTGTCTATTTGTGTACAAACCGCTGAAAGGATTAAAAAAAACCTGACGTAGTTACTGCTTGATTATCAGTTTGATTTAAAAAATCTTACATATGGACACTCAAAAAGCCTCTTAGACTAAAATGTATACTTATGTCAAATATCAAGAACCACATTGCATTTTTACATGTTGCCATTCTTTATACTTCAAATATTTGTTCATAAATGGAAAGTCAGAGCAACAACAAGCATTACTGATAACAGATAACCTTTAAAGGTATCACACAGAAAGAAAATAAGATCAGTGGTTATGTAGCAGCTGGGAGCTCCACAAATAGCTTGACAATATGATGCAAAGAATGATGAGCCATCAGATGATTTTAGCTTCCATTGAGACCAGCTGATCTTCGGGGACTGCAGGGAAATTTGAGTTAAGAGCCAGAGCTAATGCTATGCTGCTTTTTTGTGCATAGGGTGCAGTTAAAAAAAATCTGGCAATCTACCATTAAAAAAATACCAAACATATAGGTTCCCTCCAACCAGCTGACCTCTGCAAGCACCTTACAATTAAAAGTGGTTGTCCAGAAGCTGAGGATGTTGCATGCTCAACCACCGGGACACCAGTTGGTCACTGCAACTATTTGCAATGGGTCGCTTAATGTAACAGAAATTCAGTGCAATCACCAGATCACCACCACTCTAGTGTGACAGTGCCATTACATGTATTATGTGTGTGCTTTTGATTTCAGCACACAGAAAAACATCAACTTTCAATCTGACCAGACAGACTGGCAATAGTACAACAGTTTTCAGGAGAGTGCAAAGCTTTGAAGCCCAAAGGAGGCACAGAAGGACAGGAATGGGACAGTCACATCGCAAATTAACCCACAGCATTAGACAGTCAACACAGTTTACTGTAGTGTCCTGGGGTGTCTAAAAATACAGGAGTCGTTTGGTGAAACTGACACAGTCTTGACTCGCGACCTTCCAGTATATCCTCCCTGTGATGGTGTCCTCCTTACCAAAATCAAGCTGAAGAGTCACTGTTTTCACACAACGAGGAAAAAAGCATGCAGTGAAGGGGCACGTGTGCAGGGGAAGTTCCACTGTGTGATCTAAAAAAGGCAGTAGCACTGGACATGTACCAGATTATGACCCCGACTAGGAGATCAGACAAATTTATATCAGGTTATAGTTTTGGCCAATAACGTATCTTTTTTGTGTCTATTTCTTTAAATACATTTTTTTAAAAGAGGTTTTTAATAAATCTGTCCCACGTTTTTCTCTTAAATACCATTACTTCTACTCCAGTATGTATGAGGAAAAGTCTGCTTCCATAAATGGCTACCATTATGTTTGTGTTGTGTTGTACCTTGTCTGAGCAGCAGTTGTAGCTTTCCTCTCTCTAACTCCAGGCTGAGGCTGACGCCTTGCTGCCCCTCTGCATGCAGCAGTATCCCAGAATTCCTCAGGGTTTTAAACTTCAGAGAGACAACCTCTTTGGATGTCTGCCACGGCCCGGGACTCAGCCTGTACACCAGGCTGCTGCTGCCACCGTTTAGGCTCACCACATCAGAGGCTAAAAATCAAAAACAAAATAGATTTCATGATAAAAGAAACGAGAGCAAAACATTGAAACCAGAATCTTAAGCAAAAGCTTAACAGTTCATATCATATAACCCTGAAACAGACAACAGTCCTTGTGTTTGTGCAATTTTCCTACAGCATCAGATTGTTCAAAGCTCCGACTAATAACTGGGTGTCAGAATTGCTATTAATACCATGTAATATTCTAATTCAAGGTTCTTAAATAATGCTTATGCTACCCTGCATAAACTCACAGTTACTCACACTTGTTACTCATCTACTTGTACCTGTAATTCTGTGGTTGTAGCAGACAATTTGTTAAACAGCGAGGGAAAACCTTGCAGCAAGGACTGAATCTGTATTCTGCTTAACACTTTTCATCAAGAAGTCTCTCAGTTACTGCGTGCTGCTCGCTGGGGATTTGGGCTGAGGTCATGTGAGGAAAACGGTGTAGGTGGTAAAGAATGAACTGCAAATACTGAACTGTTTAAAGAGAGCTGCGGCTGAGTACAGCATCAAAAGCCTTTTCAGTTGTACAACTAATTTCTCCGACTGAATGTTTCTTAATGGACTTGGCAACTCTTTGGCTTCCTAAGGCTTACAATCAGCCAACCACTTTGCTTGCAGTAATGCTCTTATTGCATTGTACAGTGTATTTCCTGCTGATTGCAGAGCAGTAGGCTTGGGCTCAGAAGCACTGAGTCATCCTCTGCGACTGAAAGCTAAAAAACATTACTTGAAGTCGACTCTGTGGACTATCAAGCCATTCTAATTAAGTCCCAGATTACATTTTGTTCTACAATATTACGTATTATGTAATTACAGTCAGCCATATCCCTGTAATTATCCCCAGAACATATTGTTGATTATTTTTGACTCACTACCTGCGTACTGAAATAGCACTGGACATAGTGAGTGCAGTAATTAGCTGGACATAGTTTTACACACATATATTTGATTGATTGCAGTAAATATAATCATAGAAACACACACATATGACAATGGGAAGAAATTAATAAAAAATACATAAATAGAGGAGACAAGTCCCTGTAGCTATGCTGTTGCTTTCTAGCATCAGTTAATTAGCAGAGAGCAATTTAGACTGGTATGAATATCATACTTCAAAGACATGTGGTTATCAGCAAGAAGGCCTACAAAATGGACTAGTCTGGCCCATGGGATGGTTTCAGGAATACTGCAGAGAAGATGGGGAAGAATGTTTGTATTTCCCACTGTTTGCTTCTGTAGGAAGCATTGGGTTACAGGTTGTTAAGAATAGAGGACGTCAAGGGACTGGTTGTCCAATTCTTAATGTCATTTGAGTCAGAGATCTGAATCATAATCGATGTTTAGCCTTCCTAAAATCAAACTGGACTTGTTGTTCTATAGATCTGGAGGTATTTTTATAGTGCTCCTGCACACTTAAGATTAACTTGCGCTTTAATAACTTAAACATTTGACACCTCTGTATTGCAAGCTGCAGACAGCACAATTGTCTGTGTCTACATTTAAGACAAACTATCCCATGGGTGGTAATAATTTAACTCCAAAAGTCATCCTCGTGGTGCCAAGAAAATAATCTTTACTCCATGACTCACTGTATAAACTTTAAATCCATCCAGCAGATGCTGGTATCTTTCAGGACCAGCTTAACCACCTACTGTCATTTACAGACTTTTGACGCTAGTGCAAAAAGAAATCTTCCTTTCACAGAAAAATGCTCTTTTGCTGAAGATGTAGTGAAAATAATCCTCATTTATACTCCATTATTCTGCCTTCTTACAGTGTTTTACACTATTAGCAAATAATACAGATCATCACACTTCCAGCACTTCCAGAAACCAAAAAGCTCTGGTGTGTGGCTAATTCCACTAATTAACTTTTTAATCATGAATAGGTTTTTTTTTGTTCAGGTTTGCATGGATTTTAAGAAGTTTAAACTCTCATGTAGGCCAGGGAAAATGTTCTCCATCCATTCTTATAATGTTAACTACAAAACACATTATTTTGTGTTTCCTTAAAAAAGACTAATATCCACCGAGCATTTACATTCAGTGCATTTCTCACACTGTGGCAAACCGTTTGTCACCAGCAGCTATATCGCAGCTCCCTGCGATGTATTACATTTGTTTTTCCGGGGAGGATTCTGCCGTGAATGCTGCATTAGTTTTCTGCAGGAACACCAGGAATCTTCTCTGACAACTGTGACACCAGCTGATAAATATAGCACACAAATATATCCGTAAGTAACTTTTGAATATTTCCAAACGACTATAGGCTATTCATCAAAATCCATGTTTTAATGTTTCTCCAAATCCATCTTCTTCTCACGCAGACAACAGTAAATACAGTTAAATAAGGATATATACAATGGTTTTAGCATAAATCATCTTTATACTTGGCAGATTACATGTGATGAAGATGCAAGTACAAGATGTAAGACTATAAAGACAATACAGATGTCACGTAAAAGTGGCGATCACCAAGAACAAACTAAAGAAAACCTGAGGACACTGTTGGTACAGTTTCACACTGCCGGGTTGTTTTTATTAGAAGAACAAAGAGTCTTATAAGAAAAGAAGACTATGTGTCTTCTTCTAAGAGTGACATTCAGTATGAATTAGAAATAAATGGAAAAAGTAGAACACTTTCAAAAGACATCTTTTGAAACCAAGTCGTATTTGTGAAATTGCTTTTTCCTTTTTAGTATATTCAAAGCAAACGAGCTGATGTCCTTTTATTTTTATACTTCTATTTTAATATTCCACTCAGAGTACAGCCGGCGAAATATAGGCGGAAACTTGAAATAATACACAGAGATGGCTGTGGAGGAAATCCCAGGAAACCGTGTTTGCACATGAATAGTTATTGTTTGCTAAGTATATTCTAGCATGTATATGTAAATATATGGAGTTGCTTTTGATATTCATGAGTATGTCGTGTTTTGATTAGAGCACAGAAATCAGGGCAGAGCAGCAAATGAACACTGAGAAGACAAAAGACTACAAACACCTGCTCGTTTAAGAAAATGAGCAAAGCCTGTACGTCTGACTGTACACTTTAGCTGTAAAGGGAATAAAGACCAGGATGAAGAGGAGTTCCATTCATTGAAAATATAGTCTAATGTGTTTAAAGTCATGCTGAGTCAAGAGGATTCATATTTTATATGGAAAAAAAACAACAACTCACATATGTTATGTAACTGAATGTGAATAAATCTGACAGCAATGCTTATGTGCAAAACCAATGTCGTATTTGTTTAGTTCATTGTACTGATGCTACGGCTGCTGGGGCCAGCATGTATAAAAGCAGCTCTTAACTCTTAACAAAAGGCTTTCAGTGAAAGAAAAGCAGCCCAATAACAAAATCATGAAATGTATACATTTCTCAAGAAAAGACTGAATAAAATTCAGGTGATCCAGTCGGGATAAAGAAGACAGAACTTACTGTAAGGACATCCGTAGGTTTCCAGTCGCAGTCCGATCCGTCCGCTGGGATTCCAGTCCAGAGGAATGAGGCGGAGAAAACGTGCAATCGCTGGTTGCTGCAGCTTGTATTGAACCACATTGTCTGCATTGCTGTTACCTGGAAATGACTAAAAACATACAAGCAGAGAAAAAAAATGACATGTAAATATTTACATATATAAATATTTGCACTGGAAATTCAAGTTTTTTGGTTTCCTGTTTGTAGGTTGCCCAACCAGTCTACATGTGTTTTGTGGACTTTGAGAAGGTATTCGACCATGTCCCTCGGGGGGTCCTGTAGGGGGTGCTCCTGGAGTATGGGGTGTCTGGCCCATTGCTATGGGCCATTCTGTCCTTATACAGCAGTTGCAAGAGCTTGGCCTGCATAGCCGGCAATAAGTCGGACTCGTTCCTGGTGGGTGATGGGCTCCGCCAAGGCTGCCCGACGCTGTACCGATCTGTTGTGGTGAAGAGAGAGCTGAGTGTAAAAGCGAAGCTCTCAATTTACCAGTCGATCTACGCCCCTACCCTCACCTAAGATCACAAGCTGTGGGTAGTGACCGAAAGAACGAGATCCTGAATACAAGCGGCGGAAATGGGCTTCTTCCGAAGGGTGGCTGGCCTCTCCCTTAGAGATAGGGTGAGAAGTTCGGCGATTCGGGAGGGGCTCAGAGTAGAGCCGCTGCTCCTCCACATCGAAAGGAGCCAGTTGAGGTGGTGGCTGGGGAGAGGGAGGTCTGGGCTTCTCTGCTTGGGCTGCTGCCCCGGATAAGCGGAAGAAAATGGATTGTAATGTGCTTGCAGTCCGAGCTTTCTTGACCAATCGTGTTTGAGGAAGCTTTGAGGGCATATAATTCACACTGTATAATCCACATTCCCAATAATATAATAATATATCAACCAAGACTACTGTCGGCGTATCTTTTTGTTGTTTGCTTTCTGTTAATTTTTTTTTGCATTGTTGAAGAATGAATGGCTGGGGGAAGAGGAGGTCTTTGATTGGGTGTCTTGTGGCTCCACCTAAAGTCCTGACATATTGGAAAATCTCCCCCAGGGACTAAGCCACAAGAGTAGCCTATGACTGCAATCATCTTGATATTAAAGAGTAAGATATGATATGATATATGTAGCAAGCTGTAATGTTTATCATGTCAAAATTTTCCCACATTCACCAAAGCATCGAAAGCAAAAATATAAAAGCAGTAAAGTAACATTTTTAATTGACGATAAATCGGTAAGTGTTAAGGAAGCACCGAAATAACTGAAAATCATTTAGCAGCTGTCCACTCAACAAGATCAACCGTCCCATTAGCATCATTAAAAGGGGACATTTACTGTGTACAGGGTCAAATACATCCACATGTAGTGCAATTACTGATGCAATATTCACAATATTCTTTCCTTGCTCTGATACTCCTTTAATCACAACGCTATTCCACCTTTTTGTTGAAACAAATAAGAGTTTTGTGTCTGACTGTGGACTATTTCAATCTTTAATCAATGGGCTGTAAAAGCAGGACGATCAATAGTAGTGATTCAGCTTCTGAGATGGAGGGTCAGCGCTTTTTCTGTATTTCTAAAAACACAAATTTATGATTATTTGTAGCTTTTTTATTTGATTTAATCTCAAGGTCATCCAGTCTAGGCTGTTTTATCTAGTTCTCACTTGGCTTACCACCTATGTAGACACACAGCGCTTTTAATTGGGTAAAATGAAAGGCAGAGATATGCCATCTGTGTTGTACTTAAATGTATAAAATAAAGCTGATCACACTGGCAGCTTATATAATGACCATGTTAAGGACACAGCACATTTCCATTAGGAATTGGAGACACACCATGCTGCATAGAAAAAGCTGTTTCTGATGGACAGATGAGGCAGGAAGCAGAGGTGAGGGGGAAGTTTAACAGCAGTTTGTATCTTTTCAGATTTGGAAACTTTTCCTTTGAGGAAATTATATTCATTAACCTACTTTATGCTAAAATCCTTCCATAAAATGTGGAGTGTTAGCAGCGAATTGGTTTGTCGGTCTCTCTCAGACTCTGGGCATAATGCCTGATGGATTTCTTTCCATCTCCTCCATCTGGCTATCTACCCTAATTACATGCCTCCCTTGAAGTTGACACGCAGGTTAACTCGCTCTCCCAATACTGAATAAAACTTAGACACTTAATTAACTTATTAATTCCTCTGTAATCAAAAGAAAGTGAATTGGATCACATCATATGATGAAAAGAGACTCTATGTTTGACTGAAAGGAAAAAAAAACATTCAATGTGAAATCTGAGAATTCATTTTTGAGACTTTTATGTATGATTTAGTTCACTTTGTTCTTTAGAGGATGAAAACTTTAAACTCTTGGTCTTTTGAAACATCTGAAAATCCTCACATATAACATGATACTGATGCTCTCTTAAAAGAAAACATATACTCAGCTCTTAAAGCATTCTTATGTTTAAGAAGCTGAAAACAGCTGAAATTTTAAGTGGAAAGCTATTATAAGGTAAAAAAGAAAAGAAAAGACTAAAGCAGTTAATCTGCAACATCAGCGAAGTTTGGAATAAATTGTATTATTTGTATCATGTGATCCAATTGCACCAGGTTTTTCTTAACAGGAATGTTCCATTAATGTTAGGAGGTTTTTGATACTACATGTTCCTTTGAAGAGACTAAAAGAACAATAGATGATTGTTAAAATAACAGCATGTTGTTTGCAGACAGGATGTGAGCATAAATATTCTGACTCAAAGATGAAAAATTTGTGAACCAGACCTGCAACCTTGACTCAAGACAGAGACCTCATCAGAGAGTGCTGGAATTCAGGGCCAATGCTGTTCTGCTGAGAAAAATCCGATACAGAATTGTTTAGGAGTGTAAGAGTAATGTTTCTGTTCGTATGGAGTTGAGTGAAAGCTGCAGTCCAAAAAAGTGAGAGGCTGAGTGTTTCATCTGCTCAAAGCATTGAGGCAAACAGCAGGAAGGATGCACCAGAGTGATGAGTATCAGTGGAAAATGACAGAGGGGGAAGAGAATCACCTGGCGAGAAGAAGGAGGGCGATAAGCAGTAAAGACAGCAAATAAGAAAACAAAATAAAGTAATAAAGGGAATTTGAGAAACAGGGAAAAGTGAAAAGAGCAGGACTTGTTTCCTCATCTTCAGCCCTCCAGGCAAGAGAAAGCAAACAGATAAAGAGGAACGAGACAATAAAGAAAAGATGGATTGCAGTATTTCCAAGCACCCACGGGCTTCTGAGGAAAAAGAGAGAGAGAGAAAAAAGATGTCATCCTCAGAGAGGAAGAGGAAAACAACAAATTCCCTTCCCTGGTCTTCTGCCCACTAAAGCAAAAGTCGCAAATGATCCAGGAACTCTGCCATTAACTTTCTCTTCTGGAAGAGTCTTTATGCCTGGCTGACAAATTCACAAATTTCCAAAATCCTTTGAAATGTGACTGGGTTTGTAGAGAACTTGTGTAGCACCTCAGATCAAGATGTTTTTAAACTGTTAGGAGCAGTTTCCTCTGCTTTCTCAGAAAAGATCCACAGTTCTGAGATTAGTTGGATTAAAACTCAGCTCGACTTCTAATCAAAGCTCCTCTCTGCAGCTCTGTAACAAATGCGCTTTCTTCCTGGATCAGTGTCCATGTACACAGTGGAAAACTTTGCAGGTTTGTTGTTTGAGCTAGTGTCCAAGTCACAGGGAGCATGCAGGTACATATTTTGAAGTGGCTCACTGAGCTGACAGGATTCATCACTGTGTTTGCTTTCAACACCAAAACTACTTAGTATTCTAGTGCCATTATACTAAACCATGTATCGCCACTGCAGTGGGACAAATACAACAGAGTCCAACATGACACTTGTGCAATGAGAAAACGCCAAAGGGAAGTGCTGTGTCTACGAAGAGGCGGGAGGCGATGCCTCGCTGCGTCTGTGCCCCATCTTGTTGATTTTTTTCATTAATCAGCCCTACAGAGACCAGCTGAGGCTTTATCACTTCATGCCTATGTTTTGCCATGTTTCTGCCATGTTGTTAGTTGTGATCAGTGGGGGAAAAGTAATAAAATGATCCACAGGAAGGTAACAAATTACAGAAGAATTCTACAGAAGGTGTCTGATTAAGGCTTTGGGCCTGCACAGGATTTCCAGAACAGCTTCACTGATCCTTTCATGTCTATTTCACCCAGTGCAAACAGTACTGTGATGAGTACACAGTCATTCATTGCAGCACAAACGTGATCATTTTTGGTTAATTTGCACTGATCCTTACGGAGACAAGTGGAAATAAGCCCCGTGAGCAAAATCCTCCTATGGTAGAAAGACTTACTGGACTTAAGTGGTTCTGGTTTTCCTTTACATTTGTTATCTGTCTGTGTACTCTGGTTCTGTCTTTAGGATGTACTTTAGTGAAACACCTAACTGAGTGTGTAAGAGTGAGGGCTTTTTTATCACGTGGCCTAAAAATGAAATGTATATAAAAAATGAATTAATGAGGAGCACAGAATGTTTTTGTTTTTTAAAACACACGCTCTTTCCATTCAGTCTCATCTATACTCCTGGGTCACACACATCTTCCACTAATCAACAGCAAAAAGTGTCAAGCGATCAAGTGTATGATGCAACATCAGCAGACATTGTGGATGGACTTAATTTGTTAGATCATTACATCTTTTTTTAAGATCGAATGGCCAAGGGTTCATCGGAGTCTGTGAGTGACACATGCCCTTTTCTGTTCTCTTAGATGACTAGCTGTAGGTGAAGCTGTTTTGGACAGATAAGAGCAGAATAATGTGTTTAATCACTGCTTTTTGTCTTTAAAAACAAACAATGGCCTTAACCTTCTTGCACTTAAAATGCAATAATCACATGTTTGATTTGAGATTAAAAATCAAAGGTTCATCGTGTACAGCTGGGGTTAGCCTTTATAAGACAAATCTGTATTTTCTGATAGAAGGGGTATGTCTATAAGTCTTAAATGTCGGATCTTATTTGCATTTAGTTTGAATCATATTAAAGGGTACAATGTAAGTAGAGTGGTATTTATATATAATTTATTTTAGTCTTTCTGACTTTTCAAAGCGCTTCAACAAGCAACAAAACATAAAGTGCTTTGAACAGCAAGAGCAAGAAGAACTGTTATTTAAATCTATCCATCTATCATCTATCTATCTATTTTTGACTGCCCCATTTGACTGCCTCTCTCCTCATGATCTGCAGCTAACAGTGGTGTCAGAAGGTCTGCAGACTCAGCAGATTCCAACCTGGGCTCATACATCAGAAATGAAAGGATAAATGCATAATGGCTGAGTTTATCTGTACAGGACAGATCAAGCCACAACAAGACAACACATCACTTCATATGACTTACAATAAATGCATCCTGTTTAGTGATCCCTGGGGGGAAACACCACAGTGCAATACAGGGTAGGAGCTTAGACTTATTAAGTTTTTGACTCATTTAATGTGGCTGGAAAGAGTGATTGTTGGGGAAACTGAACAACTCAATGCCACACACATCCAAAAAGTTCTCTTTTGGTTCACTTATTTTATTGTGTAACACTTATTGTGTCTGTACTGTAGGTAGTGAGGCAACAGAATCAGCAAAGACAGCAAGCTCATTTATTCAGCATCTGACTTTAATGCGGATGCAGTGATTAGCTGCTTACAAAGTCCTGAAATAGGATTGTTGTTTCCAGGTTGCAGTGAAATGTGAGTTGAAATTGTGTAGTGTGTGGACTGTGTATGTAGACTGTGCTTCTTTGTCAATTTGGCACTGGGGTAAAAGACAAACTAACAAAATTTATGGATGCATGGATTATGGATTACAGCATTGAATTCAATTTGATTTTCAATAGCGCCGCAATGTCCTTTATGTTGTAAGGTAGAGACCTTACATCAATACAGAAAAAACAGAGAAAACCCCAAAAATCAGGACCCCTGTGAGCAAGCACTTTGGCAACAGTGGGAAGGAAAAACTCCCTTTTGACAGGAAGAAACCTCTGGCAGAACCAGGCTCAGGGAGTCAACAGTCATTGTGAATTTTTCCTGGAAACAGGAGAAACCTGGGGAAAAGGATTGTTGGCAGGAGAGCAGCTACATTCACCAGTCAGCATCACAAAAATAGGAAGAGGGTATTTTAGTCTGTTGTCACTCTGGTCTATGAAACTTCTTTATTTTGTGTGTTTGTTGGTAAAAGACTGCTGTGTGTGGTGAGGTCATGGTGAAGAATAGAGACAGATGAGCTATGTTCCACATATACAAAAACAGACTGAAAAAGCCCACTTACAGGCACTAATTATGTCAGACTAAACGATTCACAATTATATCTAAATGATGTTCTCCTGCTGGTGTAGCCAACGTGTTTCTTATCATGCTGGAAGTGTAAAAACAATCCTCGGTCTTTCTCTCCATCTGTCTCATAGCAGTAGCGCCGGTGGCGTTTTTCTATTTCCCACACAGCACTGTATGTTTTATGGAAGCTGGACAGCTGCCTTAACAACTACCTGTTCAGCTACCTTCCCTGCTCGTGGATGGAAGGGGGCGGGGGGGACACTTATATCACAGGGGGACAATAGAACTATGGAGAAGATCGCCAAACCCTACTCACCCCTATGCTGTCCTCCTGTCTGTACTGCTTCCAGTTGTGTCCCGTGTCACTGAACATCAGCAGGTAGGACGTCAGCCAATCCGAGCTGCCATAACGGCCTTGTGTGGCAACAGCTGTGATCTTGGTGCGCTCGCCTAAGTCGACCTCCAACCACTGATACTTGTCTGAGATGAGAGGAGACCAGCCTCCAGCTCCTGCAGACAGATGTGAATATAAAAAAAAGACACCATTTATAGATAAGTGATGTATTAGATGTCCATGTAGATTGGATGAGATGAAATAAGTTCTGGTGAGGAGAAAAGAATGAATTGCATTGCTTGACCTTTCATTGTGAGCCAAAAATCCCACTTTTCAGTTATGAAACCCGAATAATGAAAATTGATTGAACCACAGTATGCATCATTAGAACCATTCAGAAGCTATACTCAAATATAAATCGTACTTTAAGAACTCTCTTTAGGAACTTAAAAAGTTGAATTTGTCACGATGCACAGGGCCTTAAAGTTTTGGAACAGTTTTGGAACAGAAGCATATTTATAGGTCACATGTAAGATTAAAAGATGCAGAATTCAATTCAATTCAATTTTATTTATATAGTGCCAAACACAACAACAGTTGCCTCAAGGGGCTTGCCTCAAGGTAAAGACCCTACGTTAAAAGCATTAAATATTTCAAAGCAATGAAAAAACCATCTCCAGATAATGTCTGTGTGTAAACTGTAGATCCGTAAAAGATCTGCTTAAGACAGCGACACTAAACCTGATCACTTCATCCTTTTAAATTTAATATATTCCTTATTGGATTAAATGGAGCTCATTCTGCAAAGATATCCTGTTGCAGTGGTGAATGTTCATATTTAAATTTCCAATAATGAGGTCAGTAAATCTAACAGTCCATATGAGCCAAAAAATGCTCCATTTCAAAACATTTTTCTCTACCTACAGCTCTGTATAAGGTCAAAGAGAAGAGGAGGTCACGCAGGCGCTTGAGCTGATAGGTAGCCCCACCTATGTGCTTATTACATAGCCAGTCCAGAAAGTTGGCTTAAGGGAGAAGAAAGAGAGCTAAAATGCTTTGCTTCACACAGGATGAACTGTGGGCTGCACCAAGGCCCAGAATAATATGAATAGAGATCATTCTGAACTATGAATCATGCACAGCTACTCCAGTAGAATCCAGTAAAAAAAAAATGAACTGGAAATGAGTGTTATAGGTCCAGGTATAGGTTCATTGCCATCCATCCATTGCAGGCACAGCAGTCAGACAATCCATGACCTCCCTCTCCCTAGCCACCTCCTCAACTCATCTGGGAAGTCACAGAAGTATTCCCAACCAGCCAAGAGCTATAACCTCTTCATTGTGTCCTGGGTCTGCTCCAGGGCCTTGTTCTCTAAGACATGCCTGAAACTATCTCACCTAGGAGGCATCCTGAGACAGATACCTGAACCACCTCAACTGGCTCTTTTAAATGCTGAGGAGAATCAGCTGTACTCCAAGTGCTTCCCAAATGACCAAACTCCTCACCCTGTCTCTAAGAGAGAACCCAGCCCCCCTCGGAGGAAGTTTATTCCCGACCCTCGCATTAGAGAAAGTACACTGATAGTGTGACATGAAACCGTCCTGAACAAGTGAAGGTTTAGTAACAGGGCACATAATCAATTTTCATAATGTGTAATTATGAGAATACACCATTGGAACAGAATATGGAAAAGCATAACAGATCCCCTTTAAGACTGAGCCAAAGTGAGGTCCTGGAAATCAATGTAAGTCAATATAATGTCCTCCGAAGTGGTAAACCCCAGTTGTGTGTGTGTGTGTGTGTGTGTGTGTGTGTGTGTGTGTGTGTGTGTGTGTGTGTGTGTGTACACATTAGTGAAAACATGCACACTGCTCACAATGCATGCAGAAGTGTGGGAGTTATTGACAGAAGTCTGCCTGGACAGATAAACTGCAGTTGATTAAATGGGCTGCTGCACAATAAAGAGGTGTTAGAAGCAGAAAAAGAGAGGCAATTTCGTGTGTGTGTGTGTGTGTGTGTGTGTGTGTGTGTGTGTGTGTGTGTGTGTGTGTGTGGTTGCACGTGTGGAGCTCAAACACCAGATGGACGAATTCTGAAGAAGGAGGCTGCTGACCAGAGTCCCACTGAGCTCACAAGCTAACACGCCCATGCTGCGTGTCAGAAAGCCGTAGAGAACATAAACACGCTCGCAGCCATCTCTCATTTTCTTTTATCAGCTTGGAGCCAATTATTCTCTCAAAATGCTGCTGTGCAGGCAGGCTAAAAGGCAAAATCATGCACAAAGCTAAATAGCTGCAGGACCTCCTCTTGCAACCCTATGACAAAATCTAGACCATCAAGATCAGATTACAGAACACCGGTGTCATTCCAGATGGCCACTTGTAAGATTTGGTGATTATGTTTCCTTAAAAACCTGCTGTGTCACCGAACACCATATCCTAGCCAATTATGGCTTAGAGCAACCTGCATCATGAATAAAGGAATTAAAGCAGAAAGAACCAGTGACAGAAGCTTTGGCATAACAAAACACATCACAAATTCCAGCTAAAGGCTCATCGAGTATCCTAGACAAATACTTGCATCTTGCCATGGCCTAAAACAACAAAAGAACAACGGATCACACTGACTGTCTCATTTCCAGGTGATATCAGGTGGCTTGAAGTCATATGTTATCAGTTTGGCCCATTAGATTTAGCTTGCTGCTTCCACTTGTCAGCTCTGCAGACAGTTTGTGCCATCATCTGAGAATGAATGCAGACCATAGGCAGCACTGTTACTCACTGGTTCCTTCAAAACGAGGTTCTTGAGCATAATTTGTGCAGGGCCTTTCTTTGTGGAGTTTGCATTTTCTCCTGTGCTTTTATAGTCTTTCCCTGAGACCTTCATTTTCACAAAAGAGATTATAAGCCTTCGAAAAACATGACAGATTTGAATGTTTCTGTCCAATTTTTGGGAGCCGGAGCTGGGTCAAAGTGGAAGCAGGTTTAGCGGGGTATTTCAGACGTCAGTTTGCCTAGCAATGCTTACAAGTTCCTCCCAGTGGACTCAAAGATGCTCCCGGGCCAGACAAGTTATATAAACTCTCCAGCAAGTTCTGCGGTTTTCAATATTTTGAAAACTGTCCCTACTGACAACCTGAACTGTACAGGTTGTCAGTAGGGACAGTTTTCGAGGTAAAGAAGTTCAAATGGGAAACAGTAGTTGGAACAACTATTTATTTTGTTTATCATTTTAAAATAATGCAGAACAATGTGGCGGCAGACTGATGGGAAAAAAACTAAACGGTGAAAGGAAATCCGTGCCGGTCTGGTGGCAGGTCCAGTCTGATCTTTAAAGGCCAGAGCTAAGAACTTGACTAACAGACGTGTCCAGTGACAGCAGAACAGAAAAGAGCAGACACTCTGACCTTTGCTCATAAAGATAAGACTGTGGAGAAAAGAAGAAAGAGATTAAAGCAAAATGACTGAGAGGCTAAGAGGCGTTACAAAGATTTACTGTGTCCACCCTGTCACAGTAACTGCAGCTAATACAATGGAGGTGAAGTGATGGTGGATGGTCTGAACACTTTGTGTCACGGCTGTCGCTTTAAATCAAAGAGATCGTTTTGGATTCTTTCTCCCCCACTGTCTGTCAGCATACCTGATCTGACCACCTACAAAAAGAGCTAAAGGTTAATGGAGGTCAGGAGTGTGATATCACAGCCTTTATGGCCAAACAGAGGATGAAATTATGAATGTAGCCCGACGAATCGGGGCAGAGTCACGCTGCGCTGCATACATTGTTATTTTGCCAAGATCTGTTTTGGATGTTTATCCAAAAGTCAAATAAACAGTGATTAACGTTACACCTGTTTCAACTTTTCAGATAGTTTTACTGACAGTTGTCTTTTCAAGGAATACTCTTACCACACTGGCAAGTCCACCCTTGGGAACTTCCCAAAACAGTTTAACCTTTGGGCTGCTGAGCAGCTCAAGGACTCTTCAGTGATGGAAATTTGGGAGAGCCAAGTGCATTTCTTCATTCCCACCCAGATTTATCATGATGGCCTTTAGGGGTCAAATTTTAGATCACCATTACCATTTTCCCACAGACTCTTATAGATGCAGAACCTTTGGAACTAGTGGATCTGCTGGCCATTCCAGAAGAAATGATTTAAGGCAATTTGAATTTTAGAAACGAAACCTACACCTGAATTTCCAATCTTCGGTACTGAATGATAACATTTAGGGCATTTCAGTCTGGTGTCTCAACTCCACACAGAAAGCCTGAAGGCGGTGGATTTGACCCCAGAACCCGCTTGCTGTGAGGTGACAGTAGTAACCACTGCACCACTGTGAGTGTCATGCTCTAAGAACCTCCTGCAGTCCAAGACAAGCCACTTGGTGACAGCTGTAGAAGTGAACGGGAGTGCAACTGCTTGTCCGTCTCTCTGTGTTACGTCCCACACCCCCACAATCCTGAATTAGATAAGCAGTTAAGAAAATGGGTGGATAGATGGATGGATTCTGGAGCGCATGACATACAATTCAGCACTGAATGGAGAGAAAATGAGGTGTTTTTCATAATTAGCTGCCCGAGGGCAAATGCAGTCTTTGTCTAATATTAATTATCCAACAATATTGGAAGCTGACAAGTACAACGTTGGTGAATGAGTATAAACAAATTACTATTTCACCTTCAATTGTGCGCTAATACATGATCATGCAGCTACAGGCAGGCAGACTGAGTGGAACAGAACAGAGGCAATGACCAGAGGAAGAAATAAAAGGAACTGAAAGACAGACAATTAAAAAAAGTGAGACAGGAAATGGTAGAGAGAGACAGGCAGCTTAAAGGGATAGGAAAGCAGCTGGAAAGACATGTAACAGATTGATACAAGCACCCGACCCAGAATGAGCACTGGTCATTTGCATGAGAATACCAAGTCTGGAGGGTAATTTCAGCAGCCTGATAACATGTCAGTCGGACAGAAAGTCCACCAGGAGGCCAATGAGCTCGATGCGGCACTGACAGCAGCACCAGGCTGAGGAATACTGCAGGTTCTCTGCAGGAGAAGCAGGAAAGATTCATCCATATGAGATGCTACAAAAAGAGCCCATGAAGAAAGTAATACATCTTATTTTAGAGTGTAAAAATCTCAATTTGCAGAATTTGCTGAAATAGTTTCAAACTAAT